TTTCCTTCTATAATGACCCCAGATCTGTTCGTATCTATTTTTATATCAATCCTTGTTATTGTGGAGGTAGAATCTAGGAAAAAACATCTAATTTCTGTCTGTTTTTCAAAGCCATGTTTGAAGAGAAATTGAAAGTTAGATAGCCAGAGGAAATACTAATGTCGCTAAGGTGAGAAGATGAAAACGAAATCAATATGAAAATTCAAACAAGATAAAAGGAAAATTTCAGATTTTTTTTATCACTCGATATATACTGAGAAAGTCTGATGCAGATTAGTAACTAGATAATGCCATGTCAGATCTTCCAAGTAAAACTTTGACGTGCACGGTATTTTGAAGGAATAGCACAGGAAGAGGATACACTTTTCCATCTGTTCTCTTCAGTCACGTGCAAAAAAAATTATGAGGTAAATTGTACTGTTGTACTTTTCAATAAACGAAGAATTTACAAACCGCTAGCTATCATTTGGCACTAAAATGGCTCTACTGTTATGGATCAGTTAATGAGTGATGAAGAATGAACTCATTTATTGGAAACTTTTGCGTATTGGATATTAGCTTTAAGCGACAAATAAAAAGGAAACTTTCTAAGTGTAGCTTGTATTTGTTTGAGAAAATGCTGTCAAAATGTCCACTATGAAATCTGCCTTAATAAGGGTTTTATCTTGAGAAAATTGAGCAATTTTGAACTTCAGCTTCTAAAAACATTCTAAGTGAAATTTACACTTCCTGACGAGTAAATGCGGTGAAAGAGCACTTAAGAAATGATTTCAAAAGCGACTGCACTGGTCTACTTGACAACTGCAAAATAAGTACAGAGTAGAAAGACGATCGACTGCCAGATGACCATGAAAGAGTGTAATAACGCGACCGGTGGACAGAAAAACCGCTGCAGAAGGAATTTGTAGAGTATTTGAAGGACAATAGGAAGATGATGTGCGAACGTTAATAAGGTACTTGACGACGTTGATACTTCCCCAGGTGCTAACAGTACAGTTTTTGTGTCAATGACATTTGCATAAACGAGATCACTGAAATCTAAGCGAGGTTCTAGGAACAAGAAGGAAGAAATTTAGACCTTCAAGGCTCTCTCTTCATTCTATAATCGTGAAAAACCGAAAATTCATCATACATAATCAGTTCTTTATAGACCAAAATATCTTTCAAGAAATCACCAGTTACATATTTGAATTGAGGGCAAAAATCCTAATAATTTGCATTTCTTTGTACGATTTTAATTAATGGCACTGACATTAGATTGATCTTCCACCAGGAGATTACTTTTTATTCATAAATCTGAGCCGTTGCAAACAAAGAACAGAAATCAACAGCTGGAAAGCGAGAGAGAAGCGACACATGGTCAGCAGGCGTTTACCGCCAAGGTTAAACAGAACACCTGCTCTTCAGCGTTGATAAAATTTCCTAATCAAACACAACAAAGCAAACCTTGAGTGAGATGCGAATGAGATGCTATCTATTATTCAGAAAAGCTAGAAGATCCGCTACGCGACCGAAATCAAAGAAAAGCAAAGATTGTGGAAAAAACGACAGATGTTACAGTCAGAGGCTTCATATCGGTTGCACCTGACGATTTCCCAGGCTGATTACGCCTGATAAATCGTCAACGATTAGAACTCAACAGAAAACGGCCAAAACGCCTGTCGAAGGCATAGTAAAGATTGAGGAGGAGATTCAAGGAAACAGTAAAAAATTTCCATAATTCAAAGTAAAAATCTGCAAATTCGCTAGCTTTAAATCATTATGATCATCGATGATCATGTAACTTTTTCGCAAAGGATTTATTTCTCTAAAAAGCCACAACGAACGAGTTCTAAAATGATATGAATTGAATAAATGAATATAAAAGGCTCCAACGAGAATAGTAAAACAGAAATGAGAAGATGCAAAAAAGTTACATGATCATAATGATTTAAAGATTCATTGATAATCATTTCAAAATATTTGCTTCAAGAAAATAAGGCTCTATCACAAAGAAGACTTT